TGTTTATAAAACACAAACAAACAGCAACAAACAACAACAAAATCCTAGCCATCATCTAAGATGACGTATCTTTGTTGTTATATTTGCTCATACTGCACAAATGACGTCATCGTGATTATGACATCAACAACAACATCTGCAACATTAACAACAACATCTGCAACATTAACAACAACATCTGCAACATTAACAACAACATCTGCAACATCAACAACAACAACATCTGCAACATCGACAACAACAACATCTGCAACATCGACAACAACAACAACATTTGCAACATCAACAACAACAACTTTTGCAACAGAAGCAACAACATCTGCAACAGAAGCAACAACAACATCTGCAACATCAACAGCAACAACATCTGCAATATCAACAACAACATATGCAACATCAACAACACCTGCAACAACAACAACAACAACAACAGTAAAATATATCGCCACTTATAATTTACATTACCCTAGGCAATTTTGTACGCCTGAGATAACAACAAACGAAAAATTATATTACCAAAAAAATATGCTGCAATGTTTCGTACTCTCCTCGATCGCTTGATTATTTTTTAGTTTTGTCTTAAAATTTTTCATTTTTTGTTTGGGAGGGGGGGAGTCATAAGTTGACTATTTAAATTTATAAGATGTGTTTATTTGGTTTGTGTATAGTTTTCAGAGAAATGTTGTTTGTTTGTTTGTTTGAACGTTTGAATGTTTGTGTGCTCGTATGTATGTTCGTTAATGTTATAAATAACTAAATATTTGCTTATCTGCCATACTGATAACTACTACATCATCATCATCATCATCATCACCATCATCATCATTGTCATCATAATTATCGCCGAATTCGTCACCATCCCTAACCATCACCATCATCAACGTCACAGTAAGAATCATCATCATCATCACAATCATCATCATCATCATCATCTTCATCATCATAATCGTCACAATCATCACAATCATCATCATCACAATCATCATCATCATCATCATCACAATCATCATCATCACCACAATCATCATCATTCATTTACCGCCATTTTGAATAAATCTTCCATCTTTAGAACCAACATGGGAAGTCGAAACTAAACCCCAAGGCCCAATGCATAAAACTGACCAGCATTGAAACATATTACATTAAATTACGGCGTAACGTAATGTAATTTCGACGTAATTTAATGTAATCAACGTCGTAATTTGACCCAATTACAGATGCTTTCGCTCGTAGGTTAATGTAATTCGTGACATTTACACGGTACCACATAGTAGTGAATTAATTTAAAGTAAAAAATATATTTTATGAAAACATTTCAAATGAATGAATGAACGAACGAACGAACGAATGAACAAATGGATGAATGAATAAATAAATGAATAAATGAATGAATGCATGCATGCATGAATGAATGAATGCATGAATAAATGAGCGAATGGATGTATTTTAGCATGCGAAGATTTTATGCTTCAATAGACTCAACAACGACAACAGCAGCACAGTAGCAAAACAACAACAACACAACAACAACAACAACAAATCAATTACACACGTGATAGATTTAACTAGCCAATCACAAAACATGTGTTTCACGCACACACATATACACATACACACATAAATAAACATGCAGGTACATGCGCGCACACACACAAATTAAATTGACGCTAAAAAATGAATTTTTTTTTGCTTCGGAAAATTTTTTTAAGAAAAAGTTGTCTGGGTGTGACGAAAGAAAATTTGTTGTGGTTTTTGTTGTTGTTGCTTGCATTGTTGTTGTTGCTACCGTTTGTTGTTGTTTGTGGTTGTTGTTGTTGATACTGTTCGCTGTTGTTTTTAGTTGTTGTTGTTGTTGTTGAACCTATTTGTTGTTGTTGTTTGTTGTTGTTGTTGTTTAGTAGGGTGCTGGCTGGTTGGTGATAATTTGAAGTAATGATATCGATTGTACTTCCTTTTTAGATGTTGTTTAGTGGCCGGAGCTGTGTTGTTAGTGCAGTTGCGTCTATGCAACACTCTGGAAATAATGATGATGATGTTGTTGTTGTTGTTGTTGTTGTGTGTGTGTGTGTGTGTATGTGTGTGTGGTCTCTCTTTTACTTATTACCTACTTCTTTCTCTCTCTCTTTATCTCCCCTTTCTTTCTTTCTCTCTCCTTTTCTATCTCTCGCTTTGTTGCGTCATTTTGTTGAGGCTGTTGCTGACGATGTTTATTCAACATTCCGGTTTTTTGTTGTTGTTTTTATCGATATTATTATTATTATTATTATTATTATCATTATCATTATCATTATTATTTTCCCATTGTCATAAATACGAATAATTATAATGTTATAAATGGTAATCTTCATATAAAGATCCAGCGTTTTTTTTGTCTGCTGCCATGCGAAGATTGGCATAATGTGATGTGAATGAATGTTTTGATTGACAGCTTTCAAATGCTTCGTCTATATGCTTTTTAATATTCGTGTGGTTTGACGCGCGCGCACACGCCCCAAACACACACACGGACACACACGTACACATACAAGCACACAGACACACATTATTTACACACGCATTGAAACACATCTCTACGCACAGAAGCCTTACATACACTCCAAAACACCAAAACACATACACAGATTCACACTAACACTCAAACATCTACACACATGCACATACACATACATCCGCACATACATACACACACACATTCTCTTTCTGCTTCTCTCTCTCTCTTTCTCTCTCTCTCAAACACACACACACACACATATATACTTTTTATCTTTCACAGACTCAAACATACACACATGCACACACCTACATGTAGTTAAGGGCATATATGGTATGAGTATTGTTGTAACGTAAATATATGCACATATTATTTCCAAGTATATTACAATTAGTTCTAAGAATATTCCGTTGTAAAAAAAAATGAATATATGGATGAACTGATGGATACATCAATTAATGAATGCATCAAAAATTGAATGAATGATTTAAAAAGATGAATGAATGAAGGAAAAAGTTGAAAAGATTGACAAACAGACATATGGATGGACGGATTAGTTAGAAGTAAGAAAGACATACGGTCAATGAGACGAGAGATAATAATTTCTGCATGGTGTATTACGCTAGAATGAATGCTACCTAATTGGCCATTTGCATGATGATGATGAAGAAAAAGAAGAGGAGGAAGAAGATGATGACGGTGAGAAGATGATGATGAGGGTGAGGGTGATAACAAAGATGATATATTCATTCAAACAGTTTTTTTAGATTCACCAAATCTCAGTTCCTCCCCACTTTTTGACTAAACCTAATTTTAGTATGAATAACACATTGAATGAAATTTACGACCTGGCGGTATGGTCAGTAGATGCAGTTTCGGTGATAAATTTGAATATATACTCAAAGGTTCCTACACAGATAACCTTGAAAAGAGGTGCACCACTTGAAAAATTCTATTGTATATGCAAATAAATATTTATTCTTTGGTTTCTCTCTCTCTCTCTTTTATCTGTCTCTCTTTCTCTCATTCTTTTTTTCATTTTTGCCTTCTTCTTTTGTTCACTTTTACTCTGCTTTTCTCCGTCTATGTAATTTTTTCTTTTTCCGCTATGAATAGTTATGTTTGTGAATTTTCACAAGACAGATATACAAGTAGACAGGTAGACAGACCGACAGACACAGGACATATATACTATATACTAGTAGACAGACAGACAGACAGACACGCAGATAGATAGATGAATATAGATAGATACTAGATAGATAGATATTTGACTGATAGAGAGATAAATAAATAAAGAACCCAAAGACATCTGATCATAACGTAGCCCCATCATAACATGTAACATGAACATGCCTTTTTAAAGGAATGCGGCCATGAAATAAATCTTAGCACTTCATTTACATGTATTTACGGTTGTTTTAATCTTTCCTCTCTTTCTCTCTCTCTCTCTCTCTCTCTCTCTCTCTCTCTCTTGTGCTGTATTGTGCTGTGTCGTCAGTATTGTTTTAATTTAATTTAATTTCAGATAGAAGGAACGAGATAGATAGAGTAAAAGAGAAAGAGAGAGAGAAAGAGAGAAGGAGAGAGAGAAATAAGAATGGATGAAATAGATTGGATTGTCCATAATGGTTATCGGAAATGTGGTTGAACTTTTCACTAATTCACTCACACTTCGAAATTGTTTTTTTTTTGTCTGGAAGAAAATAAGAAAATATTTTTGAAACGAAAAATGAAAATTATTGATTGTAATTATTTTCATTTTTTTTAAGTTTTTTGACTAAACTAAATTTTACACCTTTGAGAAGACGTTTTTTTTAACTTTTATTTATACTCTTACATCTTTAAATTGCGAAAAAGCACATATAAATTTAAAATACACACACATACATACATACATACACATGTACAAATTCGTACGTACAACATGCGACCATACAAACCTGCAAACATACAAACATGCAAACATACAAACATGCAAACATTCATACACGTAGTCGTTATTTTCTTTGGGAAACAAATTGAATCAAACATACGTTGATTGCCTGTTACAATTCCACACCAATAGACTAAAACACACATATATACGTATATACAAGCACATACAAACATACATACACACACATACATACATACATACATACATACATACATACATACATACATACATACATACATACATACATACATACATACATACATGCATACATACATGCATAAATACATACAGACATACATACACATGTATGAACATACATCCATTCATACATACTTACAAATATGCATGACTGCATTAATGCTATATAAATACATACATATATTTGTATGGTTTTAGTTGTATATATTTATACGTTTGTATGTATGTGTGCATGTATGTATGTATGTATGTATGTATGTTTGTTTGTTTGTTTGTGTGTGTGTGTGCATGTGCATGTTTGCACTTATCTTCCTGTTGTTCACTCAAGCGTAAAACGTCATAAAACATGCATGTGATGTGGCGAAAATTGTCATGGCCATGAATACCGATAATGTGGATGATGGCGATGATGATGACAACAACGATGATGATGACATTGGTGATGACGATGATGATCCCCAATTCTATGGAAGTGTTGAACAGAGTTCAGTTGCCGGAACAATATCTCGGATGAGGATTTCAGGATGACGACGATGGTGATGATGGTGATGACAATTGATTTGATAATGTTGACGACGCTACTACTGCTGCTGCAGCTGCTGATGTAGATGATGATAATCATTACTATGATGTAAGTGATGCTAATTGTTATGATAACAAAGAAAGAAATAGTGATAATAATGATGATGATGACGACGACGACGATGATAATAACAATTATGGTGATGGCGTTACCAAAAAAAAAAAAAAAAAAAACAATATCCACTCCGAATCACAAATGTAAACTAAAAATGTGAATTGAAAAATTAAAATTAATAATCAAAAATGTTTACAGAAAGTTTTAATTACTCATCCTGTCATTTTAAACGAACTTCCATAATTCATTCGAGGAATTATGAAATTCGTCATTCAATTAATTCATTCATTCAGTTTTTTTGGCCAAACTGAAAATATCAACGAAAATATATGAAATCATGATAATCATCTAACAAAAGCTAGACGAAATAAAATTAATAATAAAACAAATAAAGATAATTTTAGGAAAAAATAGAGTTAATAATCGGCAGAAAACATCAACTTACTTTTTTCAGTCATTTAAACTGCGAAAAATGTAAGCCTCTGGCGGAATAACAATCTTAAAAAGTTCAACCAATTAAAAGTTATAAATTAATTATAATGAAACGAACACCATTTAACAATTAGAATTAAATTTGAAATAGTTTAATTATCTGGTCGAATAGTTTTAAATGATATTATGAATTTTATTTTATTTTACAAGTAAACGAAGAAGCTGACTACAAAGACGTTATCATTCGGATTTTCCTTACAAATTGTTTGGCAATGGTTGACTTAGGCATGCGTTATTTCCCATACATACATACATACATACATACATACATACATACATACATACATACATACATACATACATACATACATACAAACATACATACATACATACATACATACATACATACATAAATACATACATACATACATACATACATACAAACATACATACATACCCCTACATGGCCCTATCGAAAAAATGCAAAATGCGCCATGTTAGCCGTGAAAGACAGAGTGGTTCCAATTTTACAGCCACAACAGGTGGGTGTCGGCGTCAGTGGTGGGGTAGAGGGAGCAGTACATGCAGTGAGACGATTTTTGGATGGCACGCGTGATGGCCAGTGTTTGCTCAAATTGGATTTTTCCAACGCTTTTAATACTCTAAGACGCGACCATATGTTGAACTGCGCCAAATCCATTCTGCCGGAGATTTTCAATTTTTGTTATTCGGCTTATGACTCGCCTTCTTTCCTGTTCTTCGGCGACACTAGGATCCTGTCTGCTGAGGGTGTTCAGCAGGGAGATCCTCTGGGTCCCCTTCTTTTTGCACTCTCTGTTGACCCACTAATTAAAACACTAAAATCCAAATTTGTTGTTGCCTACCTAGACGACATTTCATTGGGAGGTGATGTCGAGTCCGTTTTGAACGACCTTAATACTATTATAAATTCAGAAAATAACATAGGTTTAAAACTTAATTTAGAAAAATGCGAGTTGTATATGAACAAACCTATTACACTTAACATTAAATATCCAATTAAAATCCTCGAAAAAAACGAGATCGATTTTCTAGGCTCAATAATTTTCCTGGTGAAAGCCAAACATATCCATAGCTAAAAAATTTGAAAATTTTAAACTTATCACCCAAAGGCTAAATATCTTCAATAAACATGATGCAATGGTCCTTCTATTACAAGCTGCTTTTTTGCCTCGTCTTGTTTAATTTTTGAGAACATCCCTTCTGTTGGATGTTTCGGTCCTCAATAGTTTTGACGATCACCTCCGTGACGCATTCCAGTCCATCTTCAACATA